AGTGTTTTGGTTAGCCATAGTGATCGTGCTGTGTGTGGAACCGTCAGACTAAGGTGGTCCTGGGGCATGGTGTGTGGGTGCTTCAAGTCATGAGATGGGGCTGCTGCTGCTCTGCGGCGGAGAGGAGACTTGGGTTACTGGGTCAAGAGAGAAGCCATGAAAGGCAGCGAGTCTTTGATGTATACCGTGTTGTTGACTTTTTTTGTGTGTATACCTGTGGTGGCCTGATCTTTTTAATGAAAGAAAGATTGATGATAATTTGGAAGGGATTCTGGGCTCTTCTTTTCTTCTCATGTTGTTGTAGAATTTTGCTCAGAGATTCTTCAGTTTCTTTTTAAAATCATTTACAGAGAAGTATTCTCAGCCAACATGGGACATTTGTTCTTCCAGCAGATTTTTGGCTTGTGGTATCTGCAGAGGCTCTATCTATAGGACCCTGATGACTCTTGGAGAGTGGAGGGTATTTTGGTATTTTTACCTGGAGGGCTGCAAATTTGATTGCTACCTTTTTAACCATTTGCACCCTTTAAAAGGCAGCCATGTGTTAGGAATTCTAAGTTGACAATTCCTCGTTCACTTTTTTTTCTTCTGATTCCATATTCTGTGTCTGAGCACCATATGTTCCTTTCTTGTACATCAATATTTTATGTCAGGGAGCTTCGCAAGGCTTCCTTTATTTCAGCTATTTAGGTACCCAAAATAGCACTTGAAAGTTTCCTGAGGTTTTGAAATTTTTTATTGATTCATCTTTATTTTGTTTGGACTTTTGAATATTTGTCCAATTCACCTTTAAGAGAAAGTCTTCTGAGATGGCCTTCTGTGGTTTTTTCCCCTTTTTTTTCTTTATGCTCTAAAGGCCATTAAATTTGTAAAATTTATTATTTTTTAATGAACAGCTGAGTTAAATATTCTCCTGGTCGTTCTTATCCTACTGCTTTTAATGATTTTTCTCACCTGAAGGTCTAATAAATGAACTAGTTGGAACAGAGCTGGTAGTTCTGGACAGTAAATTTCTAACAAAATCCTGACTTCTGCAGCAACTTTTGTTTTCTAGATTAAAAGAAATTCCTTAAAACTTTATTATAGACAGGGGAAAAGTCAGCTTCTATAGATAGCCTTCTGGGCAATGTGACCACTCCTTTCCTGTGAAAACCCCCAAGGAAAGAGTAGCATGTTTAGGTGATCAGGGGAGGAAGCAGAAGGAATTAAATGGATAAAATGAGTTATAGGGGCTGGGGATTTAGCTCAGCGGCACAGCACCTGCCTGGCAAGCACAGGGTGGTGAGTTCAATTCCCGGTACCAGAAAAAACAAAAACAAAAAAGTGAGTTATAAAGATAAAACTGAGAGCCAGGCATGGTGGCGCACGCCTGTAATCCCAGCATTCATTAGGCTGAGGCAGGAGGATCGTTGTGAGTTTGAGACCAGCCTGTGTTACAAAATGAGTTCAAGGCCAGCCTGAACTGCACAGGGAGACCAAAAAAAAAAAAAAAAAGATTAAAACAGACAAAATCGAGAGGTACTACTCTGGAACCAACAGTTTGTTTTGAGGCCTTACTTTACTAATTGAAGAAGCTAGCTAATGCGTATTTGGTACTTTATCTCTTTTTGTAGGGCTCCTCTTGACTGTATTTATTTTTATCTGTAAAAAATTTACCATAGTAGGCACTGTCACTGTAGTAGTCCTTTTAGTGCAAAAGTTGGGTTATAGTGCGATAAAAGTAGCGGGCAGAAGTTCTCCCACGAGGAGGTCAAAGCTTTGACGCAGGCACACATGTTAGCCAAACCTGCGTGCTCATGACACAGCGACCTTGGGTTGCTCAGGCCAGCAGAGACCAGCCAGTGCTGTGCAGTCAGAGGTCAGGCAGTCATGGGTCCTGTCTTGCGGTAGTGATTCTTTCGTCCTCGTGAAGGTTTGTAGGGCGCCCAAGAGAATGTTCGACTAATTATTTTTACGTAAATTGACTGCTAGTCTGATGGACTTCCACCCATCAGTCTTTGGGGCAGCTTGAATTGAACCGGAGACCTCTCAGGCTTACACGTCCTTCCGTTCTTCTAGAGCACTTCTTAAGCAGTTCAGGATAAAGCAAAAACATGAGACAAGACTGCGTACATACTGTCAGAAGAAACTGAAACAAGCAGTGGAAACATACAGTTCCAATGCAGAAGTGGTCACTAAATGGTGCACCCGCCTCCAACCCAGTCTGGTAACGTTATATAAGAATTAGGTGTAAATGGGTGTGCTGGCACATGCCTATAGTCCCAGCACTCTAGGGGGCTGAGGCGAGTACCATGAGTTTGCAACCAGCCTGGGCTACGTGGCGAGTTCAAGGCCAGCCTGCAGCATAGCAAAACGCTGTCTAAAGAAGGTGTATATATATATATATCTGTGGCCCTTTATATTTATACACATAAACAACTATATGCACAGATATGTATATGCATATATACAGATACGTGCATATATGTACGTGCATATATGCACAGATATGTATAATTATTTATCAAATGAGTGTGCGTCCCAAAAATCAAGGTCAAATTACTCTGTGGTATAGTTAGTTCATACCACTCATGAGAACCAATTGTTAAATATTTAGGAATTACATGGTTCAATTATTAAACCAGTAGTAGCTGGAAATCATCCAGGGTGGTACATTTACTCCGCAGAACCTGGAAAATAATACAGGTCAAGACTGTTTTTGGTGAGAGAGCCAGTTCCCTAGCACGTCGCTGGCTTGGCACATCGGGCAGGGCACTGGGAGCTTGGGCCCTGGCGTTTATTTCCTGATTACTATTACATGTTGCTATTTTGAAAAACTGACTTCATGTTTAACTCTGTCCTACACATGGTCCTCATTTCTTTGAGTAACAGAGATGCCCAGTAAACAAGAGCAAGAAATGAGACTGAAATCTCGCAAGAGAATTGTAAAATGCAGCCAAAACCATACACTTAGTCGTATTTATTCTGGCTCACGAACCTCTATTTTGCAAAAGTTGCTTGCTAGTTAACTTCTATTTTTAAAACACATGTTTTAGGTAGAAATGTTTCAAATTATTATATTTTGACAAAATTTTTGACAAAAATTGGCGTCTATTTAAATATAGTAGCTGTGGGTATTTTTAATTCTCCACACAAAAAGTCTTGTCTCCTCACAAGAACTACAGAACAAAAAGAGAGGCAGGAGGAGCTCTATCTTAGTAAAGTAAGAAATACCCACAAAACACACTTAGACGTGTGTCCTGAAAAAAGATATGACCTAAGAGTGTTATATCCAAAAGAATTCAAGTATAAAGGGCCTAAACTGTTATCAGAATGTAACAAGGCAAGAAATATCGTTCTCCAGTCCCCTGAATGAGAACTCTACCAAGCTATGAGCTTCACATAAACAAAAGATGACATAGGACTGAGGTGAGTATTAAATGTATATTTGTGGAACTTAGACCAAATGAGAGATAAAAGAGAGAACATAATATGTGATATCTATATATGTAAATAAATGAATAAATTTGAAATATAAAAGAATGAAGAGAGAATATAGCCCAAAATATTAATTATTGGATTAAATATTTTTACTGGTTAATGATAACACTGGGATTGCTGCTCTAAGGCTGCTGTGTATGCAGTATAGCATAAAAATAAGTACTTTCGGGCTACCAAAATTCAGTCGCTACTTGTACCTACAGGGTAGGAGGGTTGGGAAAAAAAGTATCTTCTAGGAAAAAAGTATAATGAAGTAATGTTAGTTGTTTTTCTGGACTTCTTTGGTTTGTGACATTTTTCAAAGGTTTTGAAAGTTGTAGTTAAAGATGAAATTTTTGATATATAGACTGAATTTCACAGTGAGTTTAAAGACACATAACTCATAAGCTGATTTTTTCCAAAATCTTCTGTCTTAATTTTAAAAGAATCTTTTAGAATATCTTGTGGTGAAAAATCAGCAGTATTTTGAATTTCAGCAAAATAGGTGGTGCATGCCTGTAATCGCAGCACTCAGGAGGCTGAGGCAGGAGGGCTAGTTCGAGGACTGCAAGTTCGAGGACAGCCTGGGCTACATAGTGAGTTCAGGGGCAGCTTGAACTATACAGGAAGACCCTGTCTCAAAAAACAAACAAACAAAAAAGAAACAAAAGAATTTCAGCAAGACAGTACTTGAAAGTCAGCAATCTCATTGGGGGGGTTGGTACTGGGAACTGAACCACTACTAGTACTTTGCATTGAGCTGCATCCCAGTTTGGGCTTAAACATGTGACGTTCATACCTCAGCTTCCCAGAGTGCTGGGATTACAGGCATGTGCCATTGTGCCTGACAAAAGTCAGTAGTATCTTAAGTGTCATCTAAATTTCTGGTTAATTTCAAGTATATTTTAACATTTTTATTTAAAAATGCAACATGTAAAGCAACATCATTTTTTATAAAATTGTTTCCCCTTTTAAAAAAAATTCCCGCCCTATCCCATTGTGTACACACTCCTCACCAAATGTTGATGTTGCATCCAGGTGAGATCTGGGGTGCATTCTAAGATTTTTTTTTCTGGACTTTGCTATATAGTTTGAACTTCGGTGAGAAGAGTGTGTGTGTCAGTTGTATAAAATGTGTATGTACCCTTCTATAAACATACGAAAACCATTTAAGACAGGAAAGCTGATCTTTTATGCCTGCACTCTGCTCTGGACATCGAGACGGAAGACTCACGGGGGCGTTCCGTCCAGAGTCTGATCCCAGCCGCAGGGTCCGTCCGACCAGTTGCGTCGCCGGCTTCTTACCTGTGCGCGGGGCGCCTTCACTGTAGCCAGTAGGCAGGTTTCTGTCCCTCCTTAGCAGTAACGGGGTATGATCTCGCGAGTGAGAGACTGCTCAGAAACTTTCGAAGGTTGCTCTTTACTTCCACAGTGTAGTAACGCATACCACTCAGATGGCAAAGACGTTAGCGTCTGTTTCAGTAAGAAGCAGACGAAGCCCTGAAAGTCTCCTTATCGAATCCTTCCTTGTCACTTTGCAGAGTTTGATATTTCTCGTTCGAGACTGGAGTTTCCCCTACGAATTCTCATATGGGGCTGATGGTGGTGCCAAGTTCTTGGAAAAACGCCTCAAGGTCAGTGGGATATTTAGTTGGGTTCATGGCATTTTTACCTCTACTAATCTAAAATTAATTTTTGGAAGATTTGCTGCACAGATACTTAGTAGCCATAATTTCATTTCACCTCTAAAAGATCTCTATAAACAAAGATTAATAAACTGCTTTCAGAGTTATAACTTAAATGTTACTAATAATTTTGATTAAAATAGAATTCTTTCATAGAGATCTAGAAAATAATTATTCCTAAAGGTAAAACCTTTACTTTGAAGAATTAAATCAGTTGAAGATGGATAGTACAAATATCTGGATACACTTTTAGTAGAGGTGTAAAGAAACGTCTGCTTTTGAATTTCCCAAAGTCACTCTTAGCACATTTGCTCACAGTTCACAGTATGGAAGTTAGAAGAGTTCTACTTCCTAATTCATGATAGTGCACTTTGTATGAATTATTTTTACATTGAGCAGATACCACAAAAAATACCTCGGGAGAAATCGCGAAAAAAACTGAAATTTAAAAAAAGCACCTTGAGTATCAGGATCGATAAGCCTACCTTTTTAGGTAGATGGTTACTTCTAGAGTAGTTTGTCTACACTACAGACTGTCAAATACACATCTTAAGAAGGGAGAGACTAGGGGCTGGGGATTTAGCTCAGCGGCACAGCGCCTGCCTGGCAAGTACAAGGTCGTGAGTTCGATTCCCGGTACCAGAAAAAAAAAAAGAAAGGAGAAACTGGACTTCCAAGTAAACAAGCATTCAGATACCTCTCTACAATATAAGTGTATACTTACCAAGCAACAGGAACCTACCTTTACCATCTCAAAAAAGAGCAACCTCTTATGATCTATTTGTGTCCTCTATGAGCACTTTGAAATAAAATTTGAATTTGTAAGACCTGGAGTAAAACCCTGCTAATTTGTACTCAAAGTGGGAATGCCCATCTGAGTAGCGTAGGGCGTACACTTGCTGATTGTAATGACTGTGCTGTGTGTACGGTACTTACATACTGCTGTTGGAACAATTTCACCAAGACTTTTCTCTCTTTAGTGGCAGCCCTGTTACGTCATTTTTGGCATTGTGGGACCAAATATAGCAAATGTAAGATGCCACAGAATTCCTTTGCAAGTGAATGTAAACTTTAGGACAATTTATTGCAGGTCTCAGGGAACCAGCACGAAGAACTGCAGAACGTTCGAAAGCACATCCACTCCTGCTTTACCAACATTTCCTGTTTCCTGCTACCTCATCCTGGCCTAAAAGTAGCTACCAATCCAAACTTCGATGGAAAACTGAAAGGTCTGTCTGCCTCTTAATGGATGTGTTGGTTCATTCAGCATGCTGAAAGAAATACCATTTCATTTCCTGGGCTTATTGCTGCTAGTGTCGTGTATCCACAGAGGCGAGGCTGATGATTAGAAGTTGCCAAGAGAAGGGAGACTCCTGGTCTGGCCCTAGCGGCCCTCCTCAGCGGCCTGTAGGATGGTTTGGTTGCGGAATTGTGTACTGCCTGGGAAGGCAGACTGAGTGCGGGCTTCACCTGCAGACAGCCACCCTCACGCTCTCACTCTCTGCACCGAGAAATGCCACTTAACGTCTTTGAGCCTGATTTTCCTTACTTAGGTTAAAAGTGAAAAAACAAACGTCTATCATAATTGAATGCTGTATTATTAAATTACATATTAAGAGGCTGAAAGAAACATTGCATAGTACTGAATTTAGGCTCTTTAAAGGTGATAGTGAAGAATTTAATTGTCAGTTATTAAAAACTTCAAAGTGAAAGCTTTTCTGAATGACAACCAGTTTCCACAAAACAAAAACGCAGTGTTTTTCATATAGTATATACTTAGAATATGCATTTATCTCCTTAACAGGGGTAGACTGTTTTATATTCCAAAGCAGCTCAACCTATTTTTTAAAGGGGTGGAGGTAGAGGTGTAAGGGTCTGCAGAAACAGACAAACAGAAGTTGGTCTTTCCCTAGGAGGTGTCCCCAGACTCCGGACATACTTTGCAGTGACTACAGGGTAGCTCAGAGACATTCCTGACTTCTTTACTTGTAGGATAGCACTGAGTGTATCCCTGAGTTGAGGCATTTATTGAATTACTGTGGACTTTCTGCGTTGTGATAAGGCTTACACCATAACAAGTTCTTCAGGAAAATTTCAGTCAAAGGAATTTTAAATTGCTTTTAAAAAAGAACAACCTAACTTGGATCCAGTTTTTAGAAATTGAGAGATTTGAAAAGCAAAAGTATTTTTCCCCTGTAGCCATGGCATCTACTCTCAGACACCTGATATTTAATTTCGGCAGTTAATACCATAAATAGAATCCTAGATTTCTTCACGATCAGCACTGCTGTTGTAGACATTTATCACCTTTTCATAATGGAACAGGTAGCAGTAAGCACATCTACCCACGGGTGCCAGGGTCCTGTCATTTCTCCGTCACTAGGAAATTCCAGCCCAGTAGTAAACACACAGACTCTTGATATTGTGCCATTACCTAATGGCTTCAGTGTGTTTGGAATAATTACATAAAAAAAGGCCTTCCACAAAGCCTGTCTTTCTTCTCCGGAGTTAGGAGCTGTAAACAAGCAGGGGAGGAGCGGGCCTTCAACAGCAGTCCACTATTGGGACAGAAAAGTACTCTGGCTTGTTCCATTGTGTTGTATACCATCACATTTCTTAAATTAACTGATGCAGTTTGCAATGAATGAGCTCAGGGAGAGTGTTGAAGGCAGGTCATGCAAGTATAGACTCTTACTAACGTTTGTTCTCTATCAGCTTTAGCCAACATGCTTACACGTACATTGATCTACAAAATCTGTTACAGCTGTCTGTTAAGTTGTGAGCTCCCCAAAGAAGCTAGCTTGGGAGAAAGAAACAAAAGCTGGCTTCATTTGGCCTAAAAGTTCCATTTTAATAAGGCTTTTATAACTTAAAGGATTACTGCTAAGTCTGTTTTGTGTACAGAAGTGTTCTAACTTGCCTGCATGTTTCCTTGGGCAGCTTTGAAAGTTTACCTTTAGTATTTTTCCATTCCACCTTGAATCTTGTAATTGAGTGTGATTTCTACCCAGGATATCTTACAGCTGTCCATGCTGTTCTCCAGAGAACTGGCATCTGAGTGATGGTCTCTGGGAAAGAAAAATCTGAATACAAACAGTTGTGCAAAAGTTGTTCTTTGATAATAGCTGCTCCCATACTGTTTCACACACAGAAATAATTTTCTAGCTCAGTATCAGTAGTGATCACTGTTACTACTATTTTTCCTTGGTTCCTCACAGTATTTGCTTTTCTTATAGAAATAGATGATGAATTCATCAAAAACTTGAAAATACTGATTCCTTGGTTACTTAGTCCTGAAAACCTCGACATCAAGGAAATCAATGGGAATAAAATCACCTGCCGAGGTCTGGTGGAGTACTTCAAGGTATCACTCGTTCTGGAGCACTGTGCGTGTGTGTGCTGGAGTCTGCTGCCCACAAGCGAAGCACACGCTCTAACCGGGGTCCATAAACAGGATTTTAAACCCAAAGACACTTGCTTCTGCATTTTGCTTTACTTTTGAGGAAACTCCTTAGAGACACTTTACTGTTCCCTTTTGTCTTGAAGGAAATGTATTTTGAAGTCTTTGTGTTTTGTTTTGTTTTGTCGGGAGAGTGTTTTCCAGGGCCTTTGACTGCTACTGAATTCTACTTTCACTCTGAAGATTTTCCCCAAAGGGACTATGCCTCCTTGTGAGAGAAAATTCTCACGCACTTCCTGCTGTCCATGCTGAGAGCCAGTTTGAAGTGGAATTATTTTAAATTTGCATTTGCCGGTTTACCTCAGTTACCACTGAAAACTTCTTACCAATTTATGTATTTAGTGGAGAATTTCGATCTAATTTGTGGATTGTTACTCCAAGATATTAACTTTTAAAATTCATGTTTTAGCTGTGCATGGTGGCGCACATCTGTAATCCTAGCACTCGGGAGGCAGAGACAGGAAGATTGCTGAGTTTGAGGCCAGCCTAGAATAGTGAGACCCTGTCTCAAAACAAAACAAAACAAAAATAAAACACCAGAATTCATATTTTATTATTTAAAATATCATATACCTCTTGTGTGATTAACTTACCTTAATGCTCTTCACAATAAATGACATTATTTAACATTTTAATTTTTACTACAACACGGTGAAGGACTTCACAACTTGGTAAGAAATTAGGATCTTTACACAAGTTATGATGTTAGCAGGGCACAGCTTCCTGGGGGTAACTGAAAACGGGAAATTCCTGACCCCAGGGGGATCTGAGCAGGTTTTAAAGAAGATGAATCGAGCCTTTAAGAAGGGTAGGGTTGTCACGTGAGATGCGTGAAAAGACCAGTCAGGAAAATGGAAAAACGTGAACTAAAAAAGCAAACAGTACAGCATGAGAAAGAAATGGTTGTAAGTTCCTGCGGATAGTTTTGAAATGTCAAGAACTTCAAATATAATTTAATGTAATTAAAGAAATGTTGAGTGCAATTACTTGCTAATGGGTCTTTCTCTTTTTCTTAGGCTTACATAAAGATCTATCAAGGTGAAGAATTACCACACCCCAAATCCATGTTACAGGTATTTATTATCAGGAGGCGTGATGCTTTCAACATGCTTGTCACTACAGCTAAGCTTTCCTACTTGAGTTCACATACATGCCAACCCATCATAAATAAGTCAGAAATATTGGATAGAATGATTTATTTCCTAAATAGTTAATTCCCCAGGCAAACAGGAAAAGTGTTACTTATTAATTAGGTGTTCATACTCCATCTCATTTCAGAAATATGTGAAAGTGGCCCAGATCACGTCCACCCACTGTGCTTCGAGCCCTCCGCCCCGCTCCTCCTTCCTCCCGCGTCATTCCTAGCCCCAGTGTCCCTCTTTACTTTTCTCTGTCCCTCTCCCCTTCCGTGTCTCATGAACCTGTGAATGCGTGAGAACATGTGGTATTTTTCTTTCGTTATCTGGCTTGTTTCACTCCACATAATGATCTCCAGTTCTGACCATGTTGCTGCAAATGCAGGATTTCATATTCATTGTGACTCAGCAGTACTGCGTTGTGTTGGCATGGGCGTTGATTCCGTATTTTGGCCATTGTAAGCAGCGCTGCAGTAAGCGTGGGCGTGCAGGTATCTTTCTGGCATAAGGCTTTCATCTCCTTTGGGGATGCACCCTGCAGCAGAGCTGCTGGATCATATGGGAGCTCCTAAGTGTTTTGAGGACTTGCCATACTGTCTTCTGCAGTGGCTGGAACTTACTTACGTTCCCACCAACAGTGTACAGAAGAGCATTCCTGCATAAACGTATTATATTGAGATACTTTTTTTTTTACTTTGTTTTGCAGTACTGGGGATTGAAAGGGGTACAAACACTAACACTACATGGTTTTCATTCTTTGTATGGAATTTGTTCTGCAAACACACCATGATTTAGATTACACATGTAAGAAGAAGTAGATAAGGAAGCCCGAGTTTTAAGCAAGTATGCAGTCTTCACAATTAAACATTAAGAAAGAAAAACTAGTTTTCCTTATATAGTTAAAAAATGTGAGTTCTTAAGTTTCCATTTTGCTATCAAGTGACATACAGTATTTCCTATGGATTTGGCTTTAGAGGACCTCCCACCTCACCCACCATTGTGGATGAGAAACTGGAAGTATTTCTTGAGAGGAAAAACCTAAATGAAAATTCATTTTAGAATTATAATTTATTGAGTAAAAATCTATGTTTTATGCATCTTGAAATTTTAATTGTACTAATTTTAAAATGTAGTGGACATAGTTCAAGTTTCAAATTATCTGATGACTTTTCGTTTCCTGCACATTTCTTCCACATGGTGCCCTGAAAGGTGAGCTGCCTAGGGAACTTCAATGAACATGAACCCTGTTTTACATTGTAATTTGTATCTTTTCCGAAGGCCACAGCAGAAGCTAACAATTTAGCAGCCGTTGCAACTGCCAAGGACACATACAACAGAAAGATGGAAGAGGTAAGAATGAAATATTTTAAATAAAGTCAGTTCTTTTTCATTGAATTCATCCCCTCCCCACACACACCACACCGTTACACATGCAAGGTTATTCTGACTTTCCTTTCAGCCTATATGCATATTTTTTGTATTCCTAAAATATTTTAAAAACAAGAACATTATGCGTAATTTTAAAGGCATCTCAGGTAAGTTGTCTCTATGATATAATATATTCCCATTCCCATTTTATTTTGGCCAAATCTTCCCACTATTCATAAGATCTAGTGGTTAAAATAATATGTGCTGCTCCCCCCCATACACCCTTATGTTCTGCCATTCCAGTATTTCTTGTAAAGATAAAGCCGTCTAGGAAAAAAAGAAATCAAACATCAAGGACTAGAATTTCTATATACTGTATTTCCTCATTTTTAGTTTTAACTAATATGATAGCTCTTTTTCCCCCTAAAATCATGATTACATCCAAAATTGATGGAGTCTTAGGATCAAGGGAACTGTAGGACTATGTAGAACGGCATTTATGATGTCAGTAGAGGACAATCAGATTAAAAGTATCTTCAATATAATTAAATCTCAAAGGGAATGGTATAGCTGAGATTTACCTTGTAACTTTTCAAAATATTGAAAATATGTGGTTCAGAAACATTTAATATGCTCCTAGTCTCCAGAAGAAAACATTCAACAGGCTCCATTCAAAGTAAAGTCAGTGAAACTCCCGAAGAAAATTTTCTATTTCTCCATTTTACTGTGAGAGCTGTATAGCACTGATTATTCTTTTCATGTTCATTAGTGAAAATTATTTCAGTGTAGTTAGATTTCCTGGAGGAACTGGGATTGAAGCAATTTCTTGGCTCCTGATTCATTCTACGAATGAATTCAGTTTGCACACCAGATTTCAAAAAGGTCATGCCTTTTCGGCTCGAGGGACTGGAATTAAGTCATAAATAGCACTTCGCATATTAAAAGAGTCAGCGTTAAGAATGACTTTTATATAAGCCACTTGTACAACACAGCTACACTTACTAGCTACGCCTCCCAGACCCGGGGGTGGAAAGACGTGGGCTGGCAAACGCGCAGGCCCCTGCTCACTATGTGTTGCTTAACAGGGAAATGTTCCGGGAAATCTGTCGTTATGGAAATTTGTCACTCTGCAGACACCACATGGCACACTTACACAAACCAGAATGTGACAGATCATTCAACACGGTCTCTCGATACAGTCCAGAGTGAGGGAAACAGAAGAGGTGGATGTGGCTGCTGCCGACAGCACAGCACCCCGCTTCACAGGACACTTTTCTTAAGCAGAAATACACTGTAATGATAAAACGTACAGTAAATACGTTATTATCAAGCGTTCACACACTGTACGTAATTGTACATGCTGTATGTGTGGGTACACACATTTAGTTTTTTGTGGTGGTGGTGGTGGTACTGGGACTCAAACTCAGGGCTCTCCTTCAGCCCTTTTTTTTTTGAAGGTTGAGAGAGTCTCGATTAGTGGTCCAGGTGAGACTTGAACCTGTGATCACAGCACCCTGTGATACCCCTGCCTCAACCTCCCTAAGTGCTGGGATTACCGGGTGCGTGCACTGTGCCCAGCTGTGCTATACGGTACTTATAAGTGAAGGCAGCGCAGGTTACACCAGCATCGCCATAGTGAGAAATGACTGCCCTATCACCTGCAGTGTCACCAGGTGATAGAAAAGCAGTCCACCCGACTCTAACATCCTCACGCAGCATATGACTGTACCAGTGTTCTGAGAAAGTCAGCTAGCTCAATGAAAACTTGTGATAGTTGTTAATTTATATACTTGTCCACCTGATACAGATTTGTGGAGGTGACAAGCCATTTCTGGCCCCTAATGACCTGCAGACCAAGCATCTGCAGCTCAAAGAAGAGTCTGTGAAGCTGTTCCGAGGGGTGAAAAAGATGGGCGGGGAAGAGTTTAGCCGGCGTTACCTGCAGCAGTTGGAGAGTGAAATAGATGAACTGTACATCCAGTATATTAAGCACAACGATAGCAAAAATATCTTCCACGCAGCTCGCACCCCGGCCACACTGTTTGTCGTCATCTTTATCACGTATGTGATTGCTGGGGTGACTGGGTTCATTGGCTTGGACATCATAGCCAGCCTGTGCAACATGATCATGGGACTGACCCTCATCACCTTGTGCACCTGGGCGTACATCCGGTACTCCGGAGAATACCGGGAGCTCGGCGCCGTCATAGACCAGGTGGCTGCAGCTTTGTGGGACCAGGTAGGAGCGCTTAATTTTCTTCCCTTAAATTCAGCACCCATTTGAATGTCGTGTATGTAACAGGTATTGTATCAGATGTCAAAAAGCATACAGATAAATATGACTTGGGCCTGTCTTCAAAATTTTACAATCTGGCATCATGGCAAGATAGAGTATGTGAAGTCCTACACTGTTTTCCAGTTCATATTTCAGTGTTTTAAAAAATACATAGATGAAGCAGTATTTTTTTCTTCAAAAGTGAGAAAAGTTTTTATTTAGCTGATTGTGTTAAGACACAACAATCTACCATTTGACTAGCACTGACTTTGTTAGGCGCATGTCAACCACTGCAGCATATACGAACCTAAGTCATCACACCACTCCTTTTTCAAATAAACTCCTGAAAGCAGTAACAAATCACTCTAGTCTTTGAGCTAGATTTTTACCTCAAGCTATAGCATAAGCTAGCAGTCAGTCTCTGGATTAGCTAGCTGCTCATGGTCAGCTGTCTTTTCTGGCCAATCAGCCATTCCAGAGGGTCAGGGCCACAATAGTACACTGGGTAAACAACTGACTAGGGACAGGAAAGACAGTTACAAATCCACCTAGAACAATGATCAACTCACTGTAGCATTCTGGAAGTGTCTTTAGTTCATGAAAATTTAAGGAAATTCCCTGAAGTTTAAAGTTGAGAAAAATATTGGGTTTAAGACTTCTAAACATACGTAGTCTGTAGGAAACAAGGAATAGCTGCAATTCTCCAAGCTGAAAATCCCTGTGCATATTCCACAATAGAATTGAAACCGATGCCTTTAACGTATGACCGAAGATGGGAATGAAGTAAAAACTGGGTCCTCTAGCCATCATTGTCTGAAACAGTCCCGGACTCACAAAAAGTTGAAGATGGGCTATTTGAGATAAATCTCAAAACCCTCCAAGAATATGATACTGAAATCCCTCAGAAATACAGATTTTTAGTTGTAAAAAGATTTTGATAAAATATATAAACAATGTTTGTTCTTAAATGCTCACAAGTTAAACAAATGTTTATTATAAACAAAGTTGAATATCCTAATGCTATTAATAAAGCCCAATATATACTTTTCTTTTCTCCTTTTTAAACTGCCTTTGCCACAGGGAAGCACAAATGAGGTAAGTTGAACTTTTTTTTAAAGAGCTATATATTTATAAACACTGAAGTGTTTTTATTTTATAAACGACTAGGCATTAAAAGCTATCAGTATACTGAGAATTACTCTTTAGTAACTACTACTCTTAACGTCTGAATTTTTAACATATCCCAAACATACATAATTTGATTTGCACACACACAAAAAGAACTGATCACCATGAAAGAGTATGTCTCTTGAATGTGTAAAAAGTTTCAAAGTTCTTCAGCTGCCAAGGGAAGCAAGCAGTTAAAAAGACTAAATTTCATTAATTACTGAAGGGATAGCTGCAACCTGTAATTGTTTTTAAGTTTGGCTCTGAGCAACAGTTACCCTCACCGCTTCAAGCAGGTTCCTGGCCGCCCCGTCTATCCCACCATACCTCAGCTCCGGCCCGTGAAGTGTTCAGTTCTCCCACTGTGCTGCGACGTGTGCAGAACAGTTCACGGGAGGAAAGGATCCGAGCTTCCAGGAAGCAAGCAGTTTCTACACTGAGAAAAATGACCTCTGTGGAGTCATTTAGATTATTATTTTCAGGGAAACAAATCTGATTTTAAGCAACTACAAAAATAGCGTGTAGTTCTTTCCTTGGTTTCTACTGTACCATGTAACTGAATTATGCCCTCCCATCAAACACCATTCATACATTTAATATTTACAGGTCAATAAAAAAATATTTTATGTAAAACTCAGTAAAAATTCACTAAAAAGGCAAAAACAAATTTTAACTGTTAAAATAGTGACACAAATACAAAAGATTAATGGTATTTTTGGGGACTAGATTACTATTTAAAGGATATAAAGCTTTTACCCATCTCTTAAAAATATTCAAGAACTTTTTACAGACTATAGAACTAAATCAGACCTGTTAGTAAGAAGTGAGTGTTCAGTACGTGCAAGTCAGGGAGGAGATGACTCACACACTAGTTGGGTGGGGGACAGATATTTATGGGCACCTAAATAAAACAATACACAATTTGCTAAAATTCCTAGGATTCCAGCACTGTTACAAGGACACGAAGAACAATCAGAGGTGGTAATTTCAATGAGGAAAAGCTTTCTGAGGTGGTGTTTCTGAGTTAAGTTTTCATAAGATACAAACCAAGTAATTGAAACAAGGCAAGAAAACTATCAAGAGAGGGACGCAAGGGTGGGAGCGAGAGGACGGGGTGGCCTGTGTGCTCAGCGGCTTGACCATATCCAGAAAGAATGGTAAATAAAACCGATCCTATTCTGGAAAATACTGGCAGTCAAAAGGCACGAGCTTTCATAACTTGTCTAAAACTGATAATATTCACAATATGAGTGGTCTGCACAGCGCGGAGGTGTGGTAGTTGGGAAGCTATGCTCCAGGCAGTGCACAAGGTAGAAGGAAATACAGTCTGAGAATAAAACGTTTACCATGAAGGTCATTCTGCAAGAGGACACATGCTGGGAAGTCAGAAATAAATTATTCATTTCTGTCTCACATTGATGATATAGAAGATTCCAAATTCAGCATGTGAAATTTTAGTTTCATAAAGTAACTAAAAAGGAAAATTTTTAAGTGTTTGATAAAATGTTTTATAATCCCTTTTTAAAATAATCCTGATTTTTGTATTCTAGGCTTTATACAAGCTTTACAGTGCAGCAGCAACCCACAGACATCTGTATCATCATGCTTTTCCTGCACCAAAGTCAGAAGCTCCTGAACAATCGGAAAAGAAGAAAATTTAATCCAAATTTTAAAAATACAAGTGCATGACCAGCTGTCAGTTAAATATTGTTTTTTGTTTCCATGCAAACATTCAAAGTGCTTCCATGAGAACAGAATAAAATACCATACACTTCCAAGACTGCATAAAGGTTTAGTTCCTTTACTCCAGTGTTTATAAGCAGATGTATGTATGCATGGTTATATCATTTTGTTAACATGTACAGTTTCCTGATTTTTGTCTTTAAATATGCTGTTATAATTTAATGTGTATTTATGATGAGAGTACATGTGTTCTGCCTGAATTTATGACATTCTCCTACTGGGTTCTAATTAAACCATGTAGTGGTAGTACTGTTTGGAGATGCGCATTTAATTTCTACCGAAATTTTTTTTTAATGATTTCACATAGTTTGTGAAAGCACAGCGTCATTCCGCAGGCTTGATTTAATCTACATGATCTTACTCTTACCATGAGCTCCTACTTACTTTAAAATACATTTATTATATTGAAGAGCTTTTTGGTTGCTTTACCAGAAACTATATCTGCTTCTTTTATATTATGATTTAATATAGAATGTAAACCTCTTGATCAAAAATGCACAAAAAAATCACTTTGTATATGTATTTGAGTTTCACTGCATTGTATATTTTTTCATTTGGTACATAAGAAATGTATTCTTCATAGGTTTATTCTTTTAACATGTGAACTATTAAAGTTTACTCTGGTTCATAACATTAAAACAAATGCTTATTAAATTTGGAAATGTTTCTGAGGTACTGATAAAGAATGATGAAAGTTTATCTCCTTTTTTTTCAAGCTGCACTGTTTTCTGTTGACACTGTTAGAATTTCAATTTTCATTTTAAGAAACATCTAATCTCATTAGGTACCTTCCAGTTTTCTTAAAACAATGAGTGGTTTTATAATGTATTTTTAATAACTAAAATCTCTAGTGGTTTCATTAAGCAGAGCTCTTACAGAAAAAAAAGTGGGGGCAGGGTTGGTAATGACAAAGTAACGCTTCTGACCTGTAAGATGCAAAGTGGACACTCTGTCTTAGAAATGGCTGAGTAACAGGCAAGAACTCCACCAGCCGTTCTTTAATTTTTCTATACCCCTTTCATTATATTGCTTCTTTGGCTTATGGGCCTTCTGAACAGGGAAATCAAGCATGTTACATGTAAAATAGGCACTCAAACACCACACATTTAGTTTCCACAAAAATATATTTAATAAAGTTGTTATATAAAATCAAACACTTAACATTTTATCAATAATTCAAACCCACTCACGTCTTAACTGGGAGTGCTTTATATTTTGGAAGACTACCAAAACCAGAAAAATTATTTACATATATTTACAACACAGGTAAATGTAACTGAAAAGCTATGAAATTCACAGAATTTTAGAGATTTACAGGCTAAAAGTATCATATATTTGTATGTAATCAAATATACTGTACTAATTATGAACAACATTTTCATATAAACCAAAAGGGGAAAAACTAGGAAGGATATGGTTTTAAGTTTTGTAGCAAAAACACTTCGGCGATAAAAAAGTAATATAAAACTGATTTTATGGCCAAGACTTCTCGTGGAATCCCTGATTGTCACATTTGGCCCCGTCTGTGACAGGCGGTGTGCGGCGCTGCTGGGAGCCCTGCACGGTCTCACTGGAGCCCACCAACGACAGCCAGAGCCCTGGCTGAGAGCTGCACACGCCTTCCCCCGCAGACTAAGGCCTGATGCTGAAATTTACTCCTCAGAGGTTCTCTCAACGTACTTCAAAAGGTCCCTCACCCTTGGCAGGGAAAAGGGGCCACGACATAGATCACATAGAGAAATGCATCACAATAGAGGTTCCAAATCCTGTTTTGTATTTTGAACTACGCCATGATAACATGCACCCTATCCCTTCCAGACAACATTCCACATTAAGCAGTAAACATCTTTTTTTAAAAAACAGCATAATTCTTTTTAAAGAAAGGTATTGCTGCCGTAAGAAGTTACCAAGTGATCACGTCTATTTAATATATGGTTATGACATGTTCTTGCCACATTTTTCTCCATCAAGAATATTCAAAGCAGCTTCCTAACACACAGCATTTGGATGTATATACAACGGTGGCTCTTAAAATAATAAAGTCATTTTTATTTTGTAATAAAAGAAAACTAATAAAATACATGTAAAATTAAAATTTTTTAATTTCCAAAAAGTAAGCTGCCTTTGTTAACCAAGGTACTTGTCTGCATTTTTTAAGCCTGTGAAAATATTTTAATGCTCTTATAAAACGTAATATTTCTTTTGAAAAGTTAACTTAAAAATTCTTGCCGTGTTGCTGGGCATACCACTGCTGTCTCTGCTTGCGATTTTCCAACTCAGTGAGAAGAGCCTGTCTGTAGGCTTCATACATTTTAACAATCTGTTCCAGTTCTTTCATGAAGAGTAACTTCAGCATTCCCTGGTATGTATCCAGGTCAGCCAGCTGAAAGAGTTCCCACTTCAGAATGTGGTCGTATCTGTTTTAAAACAATGTTCACAACACATACATAAGCCGGTATTTATAGCAATAAATCAGTGTATTTTTATAAATACTAACTTTATTATAACTAAACAAATCATAAGCTTAAGATAACTAAATTATTAACGTGATATCTGATGGATTTTTTTTTTCTTTTTTGAGCTGGGGTCTTGCCCAGGCCAGCCCCAAACTCCCACGCTCGAGTGATCCTCCTGTTCAGCCTGCAGAGTAACTAGGGCTATAGGTGCATGCTACCATGCCTGACTACATACATCATTTTTAAGGAAAACTGTTACATTACTTCAAATTAAAGAATGTCCATTTCAGGGGTGGGATAGACCTCAGCGGCACAAGTGCCTGCCTGGCAAGCGTAAGGTCCTGAGTTCAATTCCCAGTACAAAAAAAAAAAGTCCATTTAAGTATCAGCTACCCTGCTACTAATACTCAACAACCAGGAACACCAATGACAAACTATAGTGGTTCTATCATTTCTGTGAAGAACTGAAGACTAAACCACACTGTGTGTGCACTCATCTGTGTCACTGGCTGCACACAGCCAAAGGGGAGGAGGTGGAGGAATGAGGAAGCATTGGTCACAGACTACTTCAGAGGATAAGTAACCTTGTATAAAACACGTTACGAAGAAAGGTGATAAACTTCACAAGAAAGATTAAGTAGACTACAGACGAGTCCACGCTGTGGCAAAGGACTCGTAACTACATATATCCTGGAAAGCCTATGGTCCTCCTCCCGCGGTACGTGGGCCGCATGTTGAGAAGGAACTATGCAATCAACTACCACAGTGATTTATTCTTCGAAAAAGGTCAGGAGATGGCACTGCAATTCAATTTTCTTATTTTAAAGATTAAAAAAACTGAAACCTAAAGTGTTTACTCCTGCAAGTGTTTACTGACTAAAAAGTCAGGAGGGAAGAGAAAGCTGTTAGCAATATGAATGCTAATACGCATTAAGACAAAGAACTTCAAATATAGTAAGCTTATACCTATAGAGTACTGGTATCTCTGAGATCACTGCAGTGCAGAAATAACAGCTTTGCAAGTTCTAGTAAATTTGCTTTTATTTATTTATTTATTTATTTGGTTCTTCTCCGGTCCCGGGAACCGAACCCACGACCTTGCGCTTGCCAGGCAGGCGCTTTGCTGCTGAGCTAAATCCCCAGCCCCAAATTTGTTTTTAAAAATCACTTATTATTACTTCCTACCCAGTGGTTCTCTGGCAAGTCATTTACTATTTTATTTCAAAGGGATCATATATCTAATGTAAAAAAATGTAACCCTTTATAAAAGGGAAAAAACATAACTGAGCAGTTAACATGCCACACCCTTGGACTCTGGAATAATCTTCGGGTCCAAGTAGAGTGTTTATTCCAGGAATATCATGAGCACAATATGCAAAACCACAAGGTAACATATTCCACTGGACTCTTATTCAGTTGCTTAAAATCTGCAAATTTACTAACAGGCATTGTTTTCTCTGTAGAAAGCTTTATGTTCTCTTTTATGGGAAACTATAACTACTTGTTTGTTTTCATTTATTGCTATTATTATTTTGCTTTTCTCAGACAGGGTCTTGTTTATAGTGCAGGCTGGCCTTGAAGTCACTAGCTAGCATAGGCTGACCTCAAACTCACAGTGATCTTTCTGCCTCAGCCTCCCAAGTGCGAGATTACAGGCAGGCACCACTATGCTGGGCCCCAAGTATTCCTGAATAGAAATTAAAAGAATACTTAGTGAGCCTGCATGATGAAACAGTTACATGTTAGGTACTTCCTAGAACTTCTGAAGATTTTACTTGATATAAATTCGTAATTCCTAACAAAAAGTCCTACTCTTGCAGAGTGCCCTGCTTGCTTTCACCCATGTCCTAGCATTTACCCAGATCCTTATTTTCATCACTTTATAAATTAATTAATCTCCCCTAAGAACGCAAGCTATTTACTGTATGACTAAAAGCAGAGATCTGCATCCAAAGAACTAAAGGATCAATGTTTGGAGAACTAGTATTTCTAATCAGTGGTCTTCAAACTTTGTAAGCTCTGATAGCCTTTATTCAACACAATATTACTTAGAAGCCCAATATGATTAAGAGAAAAACATGGTGCTACTATATGTGAGTTAAGCAGCTCAGAGATCCCGAAGAAATACCTGTCCTGTATTTCACTTACTTCACAGGGGCTCGAGCATACACTTGAAGCCAGTCAGGAATTTCTGCAGTGTGGTAAGGGTTTGCAGGTACCAGAAGGGACTGATTTCTTTCAGTCTGCTGTGGCTGGTATGTGACAGGAGGAGGTTGGTCATACCGGGGTACACTAGGAGAAAGAATTGGCATTTTTTAAGTCAAAAGCTGTAAGTCTAACCAAGAAACTATAAAAACAGTTCCTAAGCTTCCTTCCATGTGCTTCTTGTCTGAACTGACTACCTTCTACTCCTAAAAGGTAACTTTCTGCTACAAAAGCTTGCTTTATGAGACTACAGGGAAGTAAAAGCCACCTTCTCTTGAAACTGGTATGTTGCTAGTGATAGATACAAACCTAAACTAAACTTTCATATACTTTAGAGAAGTTTCTTCTGGCTGATACTTACTGAAGGACAATTTCAATGGATGTTATAGAAAAGTTGTAACCTTTACATAGAGTGACAAATTTCTACAAAAATATTAATTCACTATAAATTTACATTGGAGAAATTAATAGTTTCTCTCATAGCCAAAAAAAAAAAAGATGCTTTTTACTCCTTTTAAAGACTCTGAAAACAATCATTAGGATATATAGCACAGCAGGGGATGGAGAGTACTGTACCAGCTTCAGAGAACAAATGGGAATTAAGAGTTGAACTTATTTTAAATCAAAGTGACTAAAGAAAAAAAGACCAAGCTTTAATTAGTTCTAACAGCCTGGGTATCCAGTGAGGAGGGAAGGAGCATCTAAGTAGGGAAAAGGATATTTTGGGGTAAAGAAAGCACTGAACAACCTGTAGGTTAAAAACTGAATTCTGAAAGGCCAAAATGATCTATTTCAGACTGAAAGACAAAACTGGGAGGGGTTTGCCTCCAAACAAACATGTATGTGCATACCAGAAAAGATCACTGCTTTCTGTACTAGGATTAAAATAAGGGTTAGATTACATTATGGTTGATACAGATAAGGTAAAAATGGAACTAGATTTTATCTTCAATTTTTGTTTCATAAATAGGATTCAGTGATAACTACTGTTGGTGGGTGCGGGAAAAACAGGCTTTGAAGCCAAATATGCCGGCATTTTAACCTCAGCTGACCACTTACAATTTATATGAACGTGGCCAAAACCGCTTCATTTCTCTAAGCCTCAAGTTATTTGTAAAAGAACAATGAATTCATACCAGAGGTTCTCAGGATTAAATGAGCTAATGTAAGTCATAAGTTCTGTGTAAGGCCCAAAAAACATACAGACTCAAATACCTACTAGTTCTACTCGTATGAACTGAAGAAGTTTTATTCTCTTGTTTAATTTCTACAGTTTCTGAGAGTAACAAACAACTGTGAAAATGCTTTTAAGCTTAAAAATTCTATATTGAGAGGTTAACTGTGAAGAACAGAAGAGAAAACTCTTAACTGGTCATTTGGAGCACGAAGATCTCTGCCACCTGGTTACAGCAAAGCACAGCCGCAGGTTTGGTTCTTGGGAAAGGAGGATATTCAGTAACCGCTGACGGAGTGCCATTAAATGAAACCACTGGAAGCTGATTCAGTAAGTATGTAAAATAATTAAAGCAACACACTGCTCCAGCTTGTTTCAGATAATGATAGTAAAAAATATTTTCATAATGAGTTTTTATTGGGTGTTTTCTTTCTCTTTTTGCTCTGTAGTGCAAAATAAATCCAGGGCCTTTCACATGCTATGCAAGGGCCCTACCACTAAACTTAGCTCCAGTCCCATAATGATTTTAATGGTTCTAAAAAATTAAAAATATCTACTATAACCAAGAATCTATTTTATGCCAAGTGAAGCTAGGCAACATCTACCAACATACGAAAGACATTTTACTCATTTTTAAATCTTATTGCTCAGTTCTTGAAGCTTAAATATGGTTAATATGAAATACTGGCCAAGTCACTAGTAAGCTAATATCCACTTTATATGTACTTTGGAATCTAGCTTTATTTCACATTTATAACACATCTCAATTTGGATGAATTACAAGTGCTCAATAGTGACATGTGACAACTGGCTGTGATATTAGATTGCTATCTAATACTATAGGGTTAAATTCTGGCAATAAACCAGATCTGCTGGTAAATCCAGTATCCACAGAAATTGCCCGAAGAATCACTGGCTGTATTAGTACATCATACATTTTGTCCAGCCCCAATTTTCACTGATCTGGGAACAGTAAGAAACAACGTAAGTAGTCTGAAATTGAATAAAAACAGCAAGGTTTTCTAACTCCAAAGTACCTGATTTACTGGAAAGTAGGTTTGAAGTATATAGCAATTCAAATAAGAAGAGACAGGTGTTTTACTTGCTAGTTTTAATCTGTGGGTATCCACAACAAAAACACTGGCACAGTAAAGTGGAATCTAATCACAAGAACAGTGGTCTTGTTTTTAAAGCTAAAAAGTATTTAAGTATTTTTTAAATTATTAAAGTCATTCACTACTAAAAGTCAGCCCAGAGAAAAATGTCATAAGTTTAAAATTGAAGGATTTAACAAGGTTCAGGGTTTCCTTCTCTGATGAAAGTGAGTCCAAAATCTAATATAAGACAATTTCAAAACAGAAAATTGAAAATAAAGTCAGTACTTTACCTAGGAGCACAGGGATGCCTGTACTGAGCCTTTTTATTTGTGTGATCTACATAATAGGTTCCAAATTCTGAAGATTCCACTCGTTCCCATCCAGGAGGAAGTCCTTCCCGCTCGAGAGGATGGCTCCAATGCGTTGTGTTTGTGTTATGGTCTATGTAGTATTTCCTCCCCCTCATTGTCCAGTCCACAGACCAACCGGGAGGAAGGGGCAAGTCTTCAGACCCGTGGTTAGTTAAATTTCCTAAAGACGTAGCAGCAACTCTCCCAATACCTGGCAGGACAAAGCAAACGAGAAGAAATACAGCAGTTATCGTTTCTGCTAAAAATGTACGATTATATCATTATAAAGTTTTGCATAAAATTAGCTGAATTATTTAATTACAAAGAGGGAGAAACTGGACTTTGAAATTAGTGTGGGTTCTTTGGTTTGTTTGAGGCTTCCATCACCAGACCACAGAAATATTTAACTACTAGTGAAGCTACTCATGTACCCTGCTAAAGGGCAAGGGAGGAAAGAAAAATCTCACCTCATTCAACATTTAAGATTTGACATTTCATCTTAAAAAAAAAAAAAAAAAAAAGCAAAAATGAACTTGTAAAACCATTCCTACTTTATAATTTCTTAAAAATAATCTGGCTGTGCCTTGAGTTAGTAAGCTTATCGAAGTAGCAGGTTATAAATTCAGCACAGAATGATCAATCAAACAGTACTAACAATCAAAAACCTGAAACAGAAGCCACTGAAATAGTACCATCTATAAGGATGCTGCAAATCAAATATTTACACATCAATCTGACTGAAAGATCGAATGCTGAAAATTACACAACTGCGGAAAGAAATGAAAGGAGAGCTACCATGTTAATGGACTGCGAGAGTCTACCAACTGACCTTTATGTTTAAGGTAATTCCAATTACTATTACAGCAGTTTTTGTAGATACAGGTAAATGCCAGACAAGCCGACTTTTCAAATGTATACCAAAAGACAAAAGAACATACAGCCAAAATAATTTTTAAAAAGAGTAAATTTGCTTTTAAGGCTTCCTATAAAGCTACAGTAATCAAGACAATGTGATACTGACAAAAGAATAGAAAAACAGATCAGTAAGCAAAACAAGCACCTAGAAAAACACCCACCCTTACAAGATCAGTTGGTTTTTGACAAAGGTACAAAGGCAATTTAGTGGAGAAAGGACAGTGTTTTCAAAAATGATGCTGGAACACTTGAGCATCCATATGCAAAACAAAAGAAAAAACCTGAATAATAACCCATACTTCCCATCTTATACACACATTTGAAATGAATCACATAACTAAACTTTTAGAACAGGATAAATTTTTATGGCCTTAGGTTAGGCAGTGAGTTCCTAATCATGATGACAGAAGATGAATACAAAAACAAAAATACTGACAATTTGGGCTTTATCAAGATTAAAATAGGCCAAGCATGGTAATGATCTAATCTCAGCCCTCAGGGAGACTGAGGCAGAAGGCTCCCAAAGCCAGGTGTGGTGGCGTATGCCTGTAATCCCAGCACTCAGGAGGCTGAGGCAGTAGGATCACTAGGAATTTGAGGCCAGCCTGGGCTATAAAGCAAAGTTCAAGGCCAGTGTGAACTGCATAGGAAAACTCTGTCTCAAAAAGACAAAAAAAAAAAAAAAAAAAAAAAAAAAAAAAAGAAAAGGATCCCAAGTTTGAGCTCAGTTTGGGCAACTTAGTGATTTAGTAAAACGCTGTCTCAAAATAAAAAATGAAAAATAAAAAAAGACAGCTGGGCGTGTAGCTCAGTGCAAAGGCCCTAGGTTCCAGCTTAATAATATCAATCAATCAAAATAAGAATGTTTTGTGAAGAACATTCAACATTGTTAAGCAAAAGAAAATCAAGCTATACACTCAGAGATAAATTTGCAAACTGTACGTTAGGCAAAGGACTTTAGAAAAAAGAACTCTCAAAACTCCACATGAAGAAAACCTAATTTAAAAAAAAATGAGCAAAAAATTTTAAAAGGCATTTCACCAAAGCCGATGTTTAGGTGGTAAATGAACAAATGAAAACTGTTCAGTGTCATTTTAGCCATCACAGAATGCACATTAAAACCAGTCAGATGACAACACACACCCACAGACTGTCCAACCAAACCCAACGACGTGAGTTCTGATGCAGAGCAACTGCAACTCTTACACTGCTGGTGGGAATGACAAATCCTACAGTCACTCTCGCACGGCTTAGCAGTTCCGTATCATTAAGCTTCTAACATTAAAGCTTGTCATGTATACAGCAATCCTTAGCTATTTATCACAGAGAAATAAAAATCTACATACAAAAAGCTGTACATGCATGTTTACTGTAGTTACGTTCACAAGTGCCCTACAGTATGATAACCTATCTGCACACATATTTACAGAGAATGGATAAACAAACGATACTACATACATACAGTGCAATCTACTCAGAAATAAAAACGAATGATTTTTATATGCAACACTATGGATGACTCTGAAAGACATTATGGAAATAGCCCGTCTCAAATGGCTATAAATTATATAATTCCATTATATGAATTCTGCATTTTTTTTAAATATGAAATTCTTAGAAAGGCAAAATCATGTACTTGGAACTGGAGGTAAGGCTAGAGATTGATTACAAACAGACAAGTAGAAATTTGGTTTGTTTTGTGTGTGTGTGTGTGTGTGTGTGTGTGTGTAAATGTTCATATACTGACTACTGGCATTACATGAATCTACACATATGGTAAAACTCAGAACTGGATATCTTTTTGTGAAAGTTACTATAATTTATTTTAAGAATAATAACTATGAGCCAGGCAGAGCAGCACAGATCTGTAAGCCCAGAACTCTAGGATCATAAACTCAAGCCCAGTCTGGGCAATTTAGTGACTCAGTGAGACCTTGTCTCAAAAACATTTTTTAAAGATCTGGGGATGGAGCTCACTCAGTACAAAAGCCCTGGGTTCAATACTGAGGACCACGGAAAAAATAGTAACTGTAACTTTATTCTACGTAGGAACAGCGACAGTATAACAAATCCGCCCCCACCCCACCTCAGTGGCTTAAAGGAAGCATTTAATTAATCCATAAATCTGTAGATTAGTAAGAGCTGTTCTCTGTTTTTCTGTTATTTTTGTGTAAATTATCTTTACTGTCATTACAAGCATTTAATTAGTCCACAAATCTGTAGATTAGTAAGAGCTGTTCTCAGGAGGTTTTTCTCTGTTATTCTGTATAAATTATCTTTAGTGTGTGTCATTACTTGATAAAAGTTGTATCTACTATGAGATAACTTTCTAAGTAAGGCTTTACTGTTGATCAGACCTCCATTCCTTCTCCGACCTAAGCTGCTATTTCTCTACCCCTTGTTTACTCAGATGCAGACACATCCACTTCCTTGCTGTTCTCAAACATAGCAGGTATGGGTTGCTTATTCTCCCTAGAATACTCTTCCTTCAGACAGCTGCCTGGCTCACTCTCATCCTCTTTGAATCTTTGCTTAAATGATGCAACAAAACTCAGTCCTACTACCTATGGCAATCTGTATCTCCCCAGCTTCCACTTACTGTTTCACCTTTTTCGTATCATTTATCCTTTACACTTATAATTTTTATCATCTTTCTTACAAGAATTCCACAAGGAAGATCCACAGATAGGAATCCTTGCTTCATTCCCACGTAGCTCTCAGGGGTCTACACAGTGTCTATGGGATATAGTACACAGTGTTGAATAAATAGGCTGTAGTAAGGAAGAGTATAGTATGAGTGGAGAAAAGACACATAGATTAGTGAACAGAAAACTTAGAAGAGACCCACACAGACACCACCTGTTACAGATACAACAAATCAATCCAATCTACCTAACACAAACTAGAAATCTAGGCTACATTAAGAGAAAAGGCAATTTGCAAGCCAGAACATACTAAATAACATCATAAAAACATTTACATAATCTGTAGGTATAGGCACATTAATAATGTGGAGAACCCCTACCTATATGTTTTTATAAAGTCTGAATTTATTATACAGATGTATCATGTTTGTAATAACATTAAAAAACATTTCACCCAATATAAAATACTTGAAACATAATACAGAACTGGCAAAAGTACTGTATTGTAAAGGATGTGGGGAGCTGGGGAGAATGTGGAATTAAGTGATTTAAAAATGAATAACCTGGAAGTCCACAGAAGCAATATACCAAAAAAATGCATTAAATATTTTCCTTGATTCTTGGCCTTATTCTGCTTCTCTCCCTCTTGTGTTTTGCCAGTTCTAAAACTGCCATGTTTCTTATAATCAAGCGAAGAAATAAAATAGCCACAGGCAGCAGCTGTAGAGTGCCATCACAGCCTACAGATATTCAAACGCAGAATGTTGCAAAGAAGAGACTGGGTTACTATTCAGGTGTGAAAGAGAACCATTCCAGGAAAAATATCTGTCTGGCAAAAGTTCCAGCTGGCTGAAGAGTTTTTAAAATTATACTTGGCTAGAAACTAAGGCAAAAGATTAACTTTAAGGAATGGCAAAACAAACATTTTTATGTTTTGGTATGATACTGACAATCCTAAATATGCTAAAAAAAACCCAACCGTAATCTCCCCCCTGGATTAGAATAGCAGTGTGTCTGTCAATCATAATGCTATGTATATATAAACACTGGTGACAAAAAGCAATTCACAAGAAACTTCAAAACTAAGGAAAAAGCTGCAATTCAAGCTCTGATTCTACGTAAGTAAACACTGTACAGGTTACTGGGTGGTGATTCTAAGAAGTGCATGTTCACTTAAAAACAAAACGGCAAATGTGTAAGGCTAGTCACTGCAGCATCATCCACAGTAAAGATGAAAGGCTAGAAAGAAACCGAAAGTTCACTGTTAGGGTTTTGGCGTGTTATGGTTTGGCCCAAAAATGTCCCCAGAAAGTGTCACGTGTTCGGAAGTGGGGATTTCAAGCCTCTGCCCAGTGAAGGCACTAATTTCATCAGTGGATCAATCCACTGGAGTTTATGTGTGCACGGGCCGCTGGGAGGTGGGCTGTCGGAGGAGGCGGTCACGTGCCTTTAGAGGGTGCACTTGGTCTCTCTGCCTGTGGCTACCACCAGGCGAGCTGTTTTTGTCCACCAGGCCATCTCTGCCTTAAAGCCAGCTGACCAAGGATGGAAAGCCTCTGAAACTGTGAGCCAAGAAAACCTTTTCTCCTTTAAGTTGTGTGTATCAGGTATTTGATCTCAGCAACACAGAGCTTACAGAGGATGATTATGC